CCTCCCCCTCCTCCGGGCCTCAGCCACGCCAGGCCTCCGCCCGCCGCGCATCACCGCAGCCCGCAGCCCCTGGGCGCCGACGAGGGCGACCGGTCCTCCCCCGCGGGGCCGCTTAGTCGACGTAGTCGCCCACGGTGGTCGCCCGGTCGGACGCACCGTCGTCGAAGCAGACGCTCTCGAACTCGTCGTCCTCGCCGAGGAGCCGCCTCATCTGCCGCTGGTTCCTGCGGATGTTCTCCCTCAGGGCCTGCAGCTCGAAGCGCATGGCCTGCATGTCGAAGCAGGACGCGTTGCCCTTCAGCTGCATGCAGCCTCGGACAAAATCGTCGATGTTTACCTTGCCATCTGGAGCAGCGCTGCTCATCATTGAGAAGAACTCCTGTACGTCGGAAGGCTTCAGGCCCAGCATGTTCAGGTAGCTGATCATTTTCTTATGACCAATCGTGTCCCACTCCTCCTTGCTGATACTCCCCGAGTCGTCCAAGTCCGCCTCACAGCAGAGGTCCCTGAGGTCGGCCTCGCGCTGCATCTCCTCCTCCATGTGTTCCCGTCCCATCTCCGCGCCCTCGCTGGACATGTTCTTCATTGCTCGGTCGATAAAGACACCGAGAATAATATTCATGACAGCGATCTGAATAAAGGCAATATAGATGACAAACGCAATCTTGTTCAGGTCACCAGTCTGCTCCAGAACCAGATAATGCTCAACCCAGTCCTGGCCGGAGGAGCTAGCCATGAAGAGTGTAATCATCGATCTGCCAACGGAGGGGAACAGGGCCAAGATCTGTCCTCTCAACGTGGGGTCCACGCCATCACCCTGCTCCTCGAAAAAGGTGGCCATTCGCTGCACAAACGCTATCGAAAACATCAGGAGGATGAAGAAGAGCATCACGATGCTCCAGAAAAGGGTGACCATCGTGGATCGGAGCCCCCTGGAGATGTCGCGCAGCGGCTTCACCAGAGAAAACACCCGCACCAGGCGAAGGACCCTGACCACCCGCAGTAGCCGCACCGTCCGCAGCCAGGAGATGTTCATGTCCGAACCTACCACGTCGATGACGTTCCACAGGGACGCAAACAACAGGAACATGTCGAAGACGTTCAGCTTCCAGTTTATATCGTAGAAGTAGTAAGAGCGGTAATAAGAGATCTTGATCAAGAACTCCAGCGCGTAGAACACGAGGAAGGTTATCTCGGCCGACATGACCCAGACTGGAATGTGGCCTCCAGAGCTGATCTCGAAGTCCACCGAATATATCATGGCGAAACAGTTCGCGATGATGACCGAGTTGATGATAAAACTGAACAGCCTGCTATTGATCACCGTCTGCAGCCAACCCAGGCGGGGAGGAGCCTCCACCCTCCCCAGCGTGTCCCACATGTCATCCAGCCACTCCAGCCAACTCTGGTCACCCTTGCCGGCATACTTCAGCGCCCAGCTCAGGAACGACACCTTTCTGTCGACGGCCCTCGGAGACAGGTCGGCCGTGGTCGCCTTCTTGACGAAGGAGACCCGCCTGTCCATGGAGCTCACCGACTCGACGGAAGGGAAGTTCCGGATCTTCCGGACGGACCGCGTAGGCACGGGCACCACGCACAGGCGGGTGGGCTCCGTGGAGCTGCTCTGCATCGTCGCACGCGCCTCTTGCCCTGGAAGCCCCGCGAGCCTCGGGAGGGCCAGGCGAGCCCGCGGGCTCTGAGGAGGCGTCACGTCCTTGGCCGGCTCGACCGACACCGTCGGCACTCTGGACGGGAGGGCGATGGCGGAATCGCCCGAGTCGCTCCGCTCGTGCAGCTCGCGGCGCTCTCTGGTCGGAGCCGTCTGAGCTCGCGCGTAGAAGGACGCCGCGCTGAACCTCCTCGCGAGACCGTGCTCGTCCACGCACGAGCTCGCGGCGCTCGCGCGCGGCACCCAGATCCCGGCCTGGGCGCGCAGCGAGCCCAGCGAGCCGCTGGCCAGGCTGGCGCGCTGCGACGGGCTCGCGCGGCCGGGCAGGCCCGCGTGAAGGCTCTCGTACTCGGCGGCGAGCTCGAGCATCCGCTGCCGGAACAGCTGCGGCTTCATGGCGGGGAGCTCCGGGGGGGCCGCCCGCGGGCGCGGGCGCGGGGGCCCGAGCACTTGAGCCGAAATGGCTACGGAAGGCCTCTTGGGTCGTCTTGGGGGCGCCTCTTGGGTCGTCTTGGGGTCCCTTGGGCGGTCTTTGGGGGCACTTTGGCCGTCTCGGGCCGTCGGAAGGCCGAACAACAAAAAAAACAAATGCCACAATCCTTCAAAAACTACTGGGAAATCGATGATTTGGGCCGTTTCGGCCCTTCCTGGAGGCCCTGTTGGGGGCCGCTTGGGCCATCTTGGGCCATCTTAGGGCCGTCTTCGGCCGTCGGAAGCAGTTTGGGGGGGCCCTCTGGGTCGACTTGGGGCCCTCTTGGAATGCTCCAGGGCCGCCTTGGAGGCCATCTTGGGCGTCCTGAAAGCCTCCTGGGCCGTCTTGGGGGCCTCTGGGGGCCGTCTTGGGTGCCTCTTGGGCCGTTCTCAGGCCATATTGGAGGCCTCTTGGGCGGTCGTTGGGCGATCTTTGCCGTGGGAAGGCCGAACAGAAGCAAATGTCAAAATCCTTCAAAAACCAAAGGAACATCAATGTTTTTGGCTTTTTTTTCTGGCCTTCCTGGAGGCCCTCTTGGAGGCCTCGTGCGCCGTCTTGGGCCAGCTTCGAGCCAACGTCGGCCATCTTGGTGGGCTCCTGGCCCGTCTGACGCCGTCGAAGCCGTTTGGGGGGCCTCTCTGGGCCGACTTGGGGCCCTCTTGGGGTGATCCAGGGCCGTCTTGGAGGCCATCTTGGGCGTCTTGGAGGCCTCTTGGGTCGTCGTTGTGCCCTCTTGGGGCCGTCTTGCGGGCCTCTTGGGCAGTCCTGAGGCCATCTTGGAGGCCTCTTGGGCGCTGTGGGGCGATCTTGGGGGCCTCTTGGGCCGTCTTGGGTCGTCGGAAAGCCGACAAGGAGCAAATGCCCAAATCCTTCGGAACCAAAGGAAAATCTATGATTTTGGCCTCTTCGGGCCCTCCTGGAGGACCTCTTGGAGGCCTCTTGGGCCGTCTTGGATTCTTCTTGAGCGAACTTGGAAGTATCTTGGACTCTCTTAGGTCGTCTTGGAGGCCGTCTTGGACCATCTTGGGCGGACTTGGAGGCCATCTTGGACCATCTTTGTCGGACTTGCAGGCCATGTTGGACCATCTTGGAGACCATCTTGAACCGTCTTGGAGGATTGTTGGCGGAATTGAGCTCCTGGAAGATCCTCCCGGGACCCTGGCGGGACGGGCCGAAGCCCCAGGGAGAGTTCTTTTGGAAAAAGAACCAAAACCAGAACCGAGAGGGTCCAGCACGCCAGGCACCCCTGCGATGAATCGACAGGGGGCCGCGGATCTCACGAGAGATGACATTGCAAGCTTTCGTGGTGGCGCACGCGGACCGCCAATGCGGCGCGCCCCATTGGAACCGAGGGCGCGCACGCGCCACGTAACGCGGGAAACTTACGCGCGAATGTCCACCAGGAGCTTAACATGATGACCCAAGATGCACCCAAGAGGCCCCGAAGACGCGCCGACCGGCCCCCAAAACGGGCCCGAGGCGCTGTCGAAACTGCTTTCTCCGGACTCTGCCCCACCCCCACACAACATACAAGGGGTCGGCGGATGTGGCGTAAGCCGCTCGAATCTCGAACGACCGAACCAGAAGAGATGCGGCCACGAAGAAATAATGCTGCAGGAAGGCCCACTCAGTGTTGTACGATGGTGCGTGAATGCACCAGGTGCCTGCAAGCTCGGAGAGGTGTACGGGAGAGCACGCATACATGGACAGCGGTAGCGAACTCAATCCGCCGACACTCGCTTAGGGGAGGCGCGTGAGATGCTTGAGTGACCATTCCCCACCCCGCCTTCCACTCCCAGGGGACCGACATGCCATTGAAAGGGCCGGGCCTCGGATATCCTCAGAGCACTTGCGGACCAGTTGCTGATTCTCCAACATGCTGCCGTCGCTCGGACGTCCACTCCCAGTGCATTGTTCGATTTCGTGCGTGTCTTTTTTGCTCGATGATCCAGGATGCTCCTCCATGGTCCTCGCCGAGAAAAGTGCACACGTCCGAGTGGTGCCACGACATGGTTCCTGGGAGGCTTGACACGTAGTCAAGACGGCTACAGAGGGCCTCATTACCTCACCATGGTGCCAGCAGGGTAGGCCAACATGATTCAACAACATTTGGCTTAAGCTGTTCTCGGACATTACGCAATTTCGCTTCCGATGGCTTTCTTTCTGAAGCCAAAAGTTTTGTCTAATATCGCCCAAGAGAATTTCCACAGCGGTCCCGAAATATTCGGAAACGACTCAGCATGTCCCTAATGACACCCCACGAGCGACCTGAATTCGCCCAAGTAAGGGATGTTACGAGAGGGGCAGCGCTGATAAACAACCACACCCGTTTGGATTGATGCCCTTCAATCTGGCCTAAATGGTGTCCGAGCAAGTGGGGTCGGAGGATCGCCGATGCACCGTAGGTGCATCGGCGACGCATCGGCGACACTGGCGATGCATCGGCGACATCGGCGTGGAGGATGTCGGCCCCCACGTCGGGATGCATCGCCGATAAATCGGCCCTGCGGCGCGACCTTGCGGCCCCCTGTTCTCGGACCGGTAAGGCTCAGGGGCTCCGCAGGGACAGCCCCCCCAGGTTTTTTTGTTCCGTTGTAGTATAGTGGTTAGTATTTCCGCCTGTCACAGCCCCCCCAGGTATCCCGCGCTGGCCCCAACAGGCGCCCGGAGCGGCCCCAGAGGGCCTCTCAGCAGGCCACCGGGGCATCCTGGGGCAGTCCTAGCTTCCCCTCGCCATCGCTCGGACGTCCATTCCCTGTGCTTTTTTCGGTTTCGTGCGTGGTTTTGTTCACCAAGTGATCAAGGATGCTCCTCGATTGTCCCCACCGAGGAAAAAATGCACACGTCCGAGCGATGCCGAGTCCCAAACTCGTGGCGTGGAGCCTCCCACGGGCGCGGCCAGAGGCGGCGCCAGGCTGTCGAGACCGGATTGGGCTGCTCGGGTGGCCTGCCGAGGCCTGCGGGCACTGCGCAGGGGGACTGCAGGAGGCTGGCTGGGACTCTCTAGGGGTGCTCTCTGTGCGCCACACGAAACTGGCCATCGCTCGGACGTCCATTCCCTGTGTTTTTTTCGGTTTCGTGCGTGGTTTTGTTCGCCAAGTGGTCAAGGATGCTCCTCGATGGCCCTCGCCGAAAGAAAAATGACCACGTCCAAGCGATGCCAAGGAAACGGGTCCCAATCTGAGAGGCCTCAAGGGGGGTCCGAGCAGATGGGGTCGGAGCATCGCGCCGCAACACCGATGCATCGCCGGTGCATCCGCGACGCCGGCGATGCATCGGCAACGCCTGCGCTGCATCGGCCACATCGGCCTCCACAGCGAGCCGCATCGCCTACACATCGGCGGTGCGGCGTGATCCTGCGCTCTCCAAGTGAGCCTGCATTGGAGCCTCTGCGGACCTCCGCGGCCCTGTTGTACACGTGATGTCGGCCAGTTGTCATCCAGACTTCGAATCCCTCCTCTCAACAGCCTTTCGTCCAGAGCTCGCCCACATCAGTCCACGAGATTCGTCCAGACGTCGACCAAATCCGACGACGGCCGGAGGACATCCCAGAAATCGCAGAGGAACTGTTGGTCCCTCTGCAGTTCCCACGAGGACCGCGCAAGCGACCCCCTCGAGTCCGACCCCGTCTGCCCCCGTTGCCGCCTGGGCTTGGGTTCTGTCGGGGCCATGCTGAAGGACTATGGGCCTCCCGGAGGAGGAGGAGGAGGAGGAGGAGGAGGAGGAGGAGGAGGAGGAGGAGGAGGAGGAGAAGGAGGAGGGGACCCCGCCTCCGCGCGCGGCGCCGGACTTCGTCGACAGGGCCTTGTGCAGCTGGTTGGTGGGGCCAGCGCCGTCGTCGTACCCCACCTGGCGGTGAGGCCCGCGCCACGCCAGCCTCGTCGCTGGCTCACGCCCTCGATCGATGGCTTCTCTCCCTCCTATCTCGCATCTTCTCTGCCCCATACCGCTCCCTCCCTCCCCGCCACCTCCGCCCTCCTCCTCCTCCTCCGCGCTCCTCCTCCTCCTCCTCCTCCTCCTCCTCCTCTCCTCCTTTCCTCTTCCTGGTCTCATTATCATCGCCATGATTATCATTACCATCATCATCACCATCATCACCATCATCAACAGCAGCAGCATCAGCAACATCATCAGTATCAATATCAATATCGCCGTCATCATCATTAGCATACTCATCAGCATCATCATCCGTTTCAGTAGCATCATCAGCATCATCCGTATCACCATCAATATCATTCCATCATCAACATAATATTCATAGTCGTCATCAACCTTATCATCAGCATCAGCATCATCATGCACATTACTATCAGCGCCATCTTCATCATCGGCATCATCATGTTCGTCACCAGCATCGTCATCATTAACAGCATCATCATCATCATCATCATCATAACCACAAACATCATCATCATCACCATCATCATCATCATCATCATCAGCAACACCATCTCTGTCATCATCAGCATGATCATCAGCAGCATCACCATCACCATCACCATACTCAGCATTATCATCATCATCATCATCACCATCACCATCACCATCACCATCACCATCACCATCATTATCAACAACATCATCATCATCATCATCATCATCATCATCATCATCATCATCATCATCATCATCATCATCATCGTCATCGCCGTCATGGGCATCGCCATCGTCATTGCCATCATGATCATGTGTTTCAGCACCTTCATCATGAGAATCACCATCGTCATCGTCACAGCCATCGACAACATCACCATCAACATCACGATAACCATCAACATGAACAGCCTCATCATTATAACCATCATCATCATCATCATCATCATCCAGATCCCGACCATGATCTTCATCCGTATCCTCAATACCATCGCAACCATAATCATCCCTAACCCGCATCCTCCGCACCGCATCCTTCTTACCCATGCCATGCTGCTCCACATCCTCACCCCCCGTGGCCATCATCTTCCTCCTCATGTGCTTACCTCCTCCCCCTCCTCCTCCTCCTCCTCCTCTTCCTCCTCCTCCTCCTCGTCTTCATTACCCCCAGGAAGACAAGAAAACACCATCATACATTGCACTCATCGTCGTCGTCGCCAGCATTGTCATTACCACACTCTGGGGCGAGACTGGGGCCTCTGGCGCACTTTTGCAACACACGGGAGGCTTTGCAGCTCTGCGGTGTCCGAGAGGGGGGCCCCGGACCTGCCCCAAAGACACTCCGACGGTGTCAACAGCGTGGGCCCTCGAGAGGTCTGGACCCGTTCTCTGGAGGCACAAGAGAACGCCAGGCAGCAGCCCCCCGCCCACCAGGGAGGGAAGCCCCTCCTGTGAGGGCCGCCGCTTTCCGAAAGCCGAGGCGCCCTGCCCACGACTGGCCCACGGAACCAGCTGAGCCCTCCAGCCCGACAGGAGGAGCGCCGTGCTCGTGAAGGGGCAGCTTCTAGCGCCTGACCCACAGCTGGCTCACAGAGAAGGCAGCGGCCTCCGGCCCGCCAAAGGCCAAAAGGGGGCGCCATTCCTGTGAGGGTCGCCGCTTTCCGAAAGCCAAGGCGCCCGGCCCACGACTGGCCCACAGAGCCAGCTAAGCCTTCCAGCCCGGGGCAGCTTCTAGCGCCTGGCCCACAGCTGGCCCACAGAGCAGGCAGCGGCCTCCGGCCCACCAGGGAGGGGAGCCATTCCTGTCAGGCCCGCCGCTTTCCGAAAGCCAAGGCGCCCGGCCCACCACTGGCCCACAGAGCCAGCTGAACCCTCCAGCCCGCCAGGAGGAGCGCCGTCCTCGTGGGAGGCAGCTTCTGGCGCCTGGCCCACAGCTGGCCCACAGAGCAGGCAGCGGCCTCTGGCCCACAAGGAAAGGGAGCCATTCCTGTGAGGGCCGCCGCTTTCCGAAAGCCAAAGCGCCCGGCCCACCACTGGCCCACAGAGCCAGCTGGGCCCTCCAGCCCGCCAGGAGGAGCGCCGTCCTCGTGGGAGGCAGCTTCTGGCGCCTGGCCCCACAAAGCAGGCAGCGGCCTCTGGCCCACCAGGGAGGGGAGCCATTCCCGTGAGGGCCGCCGCTTTCCGAAAGCCAAAGCGCCCGGCCCACCACTGGCCCACAGAGCCAGCTGGGCCCTCCAGCCCGCCAGGAGGAGCGCCGTCCTCGTGGGAGGCAGCTTCTGGCGCCTGGCCCCACAGAGCAGGCAGCGGCCTCTGGCCCACCAGGGAGGGGAGCCATTCCCGTGAGGGCCGCCGTTTTCCGAAAGCCAAGGCGCCCGGCCCACGACTGGCCCACAGAGCCCTCCGGCCTGCCTGGAGGAGCGCCGTCCTGGTGAGAGTCGCCATTTCTCGAAGGCCACAGCGCCCGGCCCACAGCTGGCCAGATTCCTCCAGTTCACCAGGAGGGGCGCCATCGTGGTGAGGGTCGCCCACAACCATGATGGCATTAAGCGCAGCCAGAAACAATCAAAACAAGCTCGGTAGAACCACAGGCAGGAGCTACATCTGCGGCAACCTCCTTAGCAAAGAAAATTCGCCGGCCCAACGGGCCAGAGGCGTGCTAAGATCGCCGGTAACAAGGTAACAATCAAATACATTCGCGCGCGAGGCGGCCCCTGGGGGCCCCGACGCGACAAGTACCCCGCCAAGGTCCCGGCAAATCCCCAGCAAGGCTCTTGCAAGTGCCCGTTAAAGATGCCGGAGGCCCCCCAGACGGCCCAAGAGGCACCCAAGACGGCCTCAAGAGAGCGCCCAGACGGTCCAAGAGCCCTTGGAGTCCTCGTAAAATCGGCCCACGATGCCCAAGATGGCCCCACGACTGCCCAAGAGGCCGCCAAGGCGCCCAACTGAACTCCAAGGGGCAACATGATCGACCCACAACCCGGAAATGAATATAGAAATGTAAGGCATGGCAACGTTTCAAAAGCACCTGATGGGGCGACGGGCAAATGCAATGCTGAGTGTATCGATCTTGATATACAATGCCGAGGGCTGTGCTGTGCTGCGCCGTGCTGAATTGCGATGTGCCATGCTGCGATCGTGCTCTATACCATTGTGGATCAAGTCCTCCTTTGCATCCGAGTCCTGACCGAACTGATCTGGATCGTAAGCTCGAGCTTCCTGAGCACATAATAGATGCCTCAGAGCTAATTGACAGGGGGGACATGCCAGGAGAATGCGCCGCGGAGCGTCCCAAGGGACGCGCCAGGCGACGTGCCAAGGAACGTGCCATGGGGACGCACCGCGGGACCTGCCAAGGGACGCGCTACGGAACGTGCCAAATGCCACGGGACGTGACAGGGGACGCACCGCGAGACGTGCCAGGGGGACTCGCCTCGGGACGCGCCACGGAACGTGCCAGGTTGCAATGCTGAGTGTATCGATCTTGATGTACCGCGCCGAAGGCTGTGCTGTGCTGCGCCGTGCTGAATTGCGATGTGCCATGCCGCGATCGTGCTCTATAACGTCGTGAATCGAGGCCTCCCTTGCATCCGAGTCCTGACCGAACTGATCTGGATCGTAAGCTCGAGATGCCTGAGCACATAGTAGATGCCCCAAAGCTAATTGACAGGTGGACATGCCAGGAGAACGCGCCGCGGAGCGTCCCGAGGGACGCGCCAGGCGACGTGCCAGGGGACGTGCCACGGGGACGCACCGCGGGACGTGCCAAAGGGACGCGCTACGGAACGTGCCAATGGACGTGCCACGAGACGTGCCAGTAGACGCACCGCGCGACGCGCAGCGTTTCGCTCAACACATCCTCACCACATCCTCATGCTAGACATCCGCCCAGGCGAACTGGACGCGTGAAAACAAGTGGTTCGCTCGAGACATCCAAACACAGCTTCATGTTAGAAGTCCGCCTGGGCGACCTGGGCACGTGAAAAAATAGTTTCGCTCGAAACGTTCTCAACACCTCCTCATGCTAGACATCCGCCTGAGCGACCTGGACAAGGGAAAGCAAACTTCTCGCTCGATACACCCTCAACACATCGTCATGGCAGACCTCCGCCTGGGAGACCTGGACACGTGAAACCAAGTGGTTCGCTCGAGACATCATCGATCCATCTTCATGGTCGACGTCCGTTCCATGCCCTGAGGAAGGCCCCAGGAGGCCCATGTTAGATATCCCCGAAGTGGCCTGGCCACGTTAAAGCACCCGGTTCCGCCATGTTCAATACCCAAACTCGGCGGCCTGGACACGTTAAAGCCACTTGGTTCCCATTCGGGACAATCATGTTAGATACCCCCTGGGTGGCCTGTACACGCAAACACACGTGTGACCAGCTCTGGGCAACCATGTAAGATACACCCCTGGGCGGCCTGGACACGTTGAAACACGTGGCTCCTGCTCGGGACAATCATGTTAGATACCCCCCTGGTGCGGCCTTCTTGGACATGTAAAAACAAGTGTTCCAAACTCGGGACAACAATGTTGGACATCCCCCCTGGGAGGCCTGGACACGTAACAACACGTGGTGCCAACTCGGGACAACCATGTTAGATACCCGCCTGGGTGGCCTGGTAACGCCAAAAAACGTGGTTCCAGCTCGGGGCAACCATATTAAACATCCCCTCTGCTTGGCCTTGACACGTAAAAACGCGTGGTCCTTGCTCGGGACAACCATGGTAGATACCCCCCTGGATGGCCTGGATACACTGAATTCGCGCTCCCGCTCCAGACATCCTCCTTCGCTGGAGAGGCCCCCAAAGCGCCACCCCCTGTCCAGAGCAAGAACGCATCACTTTTCTGTATTGGGATACGTGTTCGGGTAGCGCTTTTCGGCCCCCCATGCGTTTCCTGATACTTCGGCGTCGGGCCCGACACCATGTACGTAAAAACACGTGGCTCCAGTTCGGGACAATCATTTTCGATACCCCCCTGGGTGTCCTGGACACGTAAAAAAACGTGGGACCAGCGCTGGGCAACCATGCTAGATACACCCCTGGGTGGCCTGGGCACGTAAAAACACGTGGTCCTTGCTCGGGACAGCCATGTTTGATACCCCCCTGGGTGGCCTGGAGACGCAAAAACACGTGGTGCCAACTCGGGACAACCATGTTCGATACATCCCTGGGTGGCCTGGACACGCAAAAACACGTGACTCCAGCTCAGGACAACCATGTTAGACACCCCGCTGGGTGGCACGGACATGTAAAAGCACGTAGTTCCAGCTCGGGACAACCATGTTAGATACTCCCCTGCGTGGACTGTATACGCTTCAATCGCGCTCCCGCTCCAGACATTCTCGCAATGTCTTCCCTGGAGAGGCCCACAAAGCGCCACCCCCTGTCCAGAGCAAGAACGCATCACTTTTCTGTATTGGGATACGTGTTCGGGTACCGCTTTTCGGCCCCCCGTGCGTTTCCTGATACTTCGGCGTCGGGCCCGACGCCATGTTGGACATCCCCCCTGGGCGGCCTGGGCACATAAAACACGTGGCTCCAGCTCGGGACAGCCATGTTACATCCCCCCCCTGGGTAACCTGGACACGTAAGAACACGAGGTTCCAGCAAAGGACCATCATATTAGATACCCCCTGGGTAACCTGGACACGTAAGAACACGAGGTTCCAGCACAGGACCATCATATTAGATACCCCCCTGGATGGCCTCGACTCTTGAAAACACGCGGCTCTAGCGCTGCAGGACCACATGCTAGATGCCCCTCCTGGGCGGGCTGAGCACGAAAAAACACTTGGTTCCTGCTCGGGACCACCATGTTCGATACCCCCCTGGGTGGCCTGGACGAGTCAAAACACATGATTCCAGCTCGGGTCCACCATGTTAGATACCCCCCTGATGGCCTGAATACTTAGGCACTCACGGTTCCAGCCCACCCAGGGGGGACATCCAACATGCGGTCGTCGGGGGCGCCAGCGACGGGCAACCATGCTGGATACCCCCCTGGTCGACCTGGGCACGTGAAAACAAGCATTTCGCCTGAGACATCCTCTGAATTCTGGCCCCCCACGATGCCCCCGCATGAGACATCTCCCAACTCTGCAAAACCAGCGTTTTGCTCGAGACGTCCTCAACAAATTCTGAAAAACAAGCGTTTCGCTCGAGACATCCTCAAACATAATTTCGCCGGCCCTACTCGACCTTGCATCAGAGAAAGAATTAGCCGGCCGTACAAAAATCTGGCCCGGGCAACATCACCTACTCACAGAAAACCCTGGGCCGGCGCCCTTTTCGGGAAAGGCAATCGACTTCCCGATGGTGTTTGAAGGATTTTGCCGTTCTCATCTGTTTGGCTTCCTGGCGCTCAAAGACGGCGCGAGAGGCCCCACATATCGCCCCAAGACGGTCCAAAAGGCCTCCAAGAAAGCCCCAGGAGGGCCCAAGAGGGCCCAAGAGGCCTCCAAGACGGCCTAAGATATCCCCAGGACGGCCCCAAGAGGGGACCAGACGGGGAACCCGAACAAACATTTCGAGCCCTGTACCGCCCAGGAGTCCCCAAGAAGCCACCACGAGCACCCAAGAGGCCCTAAGAGGCCCCCAAGAGGCCCCAAAAGAGGCCCCCAAGATTCACAACAGGCCCCCAGAAAGCCCCAAGAAGCCCCCAAGAAGCCCCAAGAGGCTCCCCAGAGGCTCCCTCCGAAAAGACCCCAAGAAGCATCCATGAGGAAATAGACCCACAACCCAGGTGAGTCTCGAAACTCTTTCTAGAGCTCTCTTGAACCATCTTGGCGCTCTCTGGGGCAGTCTAACGGCTCCTTTCGACAGGGCGCGAGCCACATCTCCAAAGATCTCCTCGAAGATCGTACTGCCCTCGCCCTGGGCACGAGCACACAGAGCGTGCCAAGGTGCGGACCAGCGCAGAGCCAAGAAACCCGCGCGCACCTCCCAGAGTTCACGTACAGTTGGGTCTTCTTCGCAACGAGGAGCAGCGAGAAGGAGCATCAAAAAACCCTGTTCCATCCTTGGGGAAACTTGCCTGTCCTCAGAAGTGGCGCTGCTTGTTGCGCCCGACGCGGGTTCGATGCGGAGGACAACCAAGGACCTGCAGACGGGGAGCTAGTAGACAGGGGCGTAGGCCAAAGGACCGGCGCCATGGGCAAAGCTCGCTGAAACTCGTTGATCCCGTTGCTTCCGTACCCCTACCTCCCACATTCTGACCAGGCTAAAACCGAGAAAACAAATTCCACCATTGGACCCCCCCCCCTGAGCTACTGCTTTGTTTATCACTTCCCCGTCTACAAGTCCTTAAGAGCAGCGAGGGGGGGTGTTTTGCAATGACAGAACCCTAGACCTTTGGGAACGGACCTGAGTTCAGAAGCCCAAAACATCAGGGACCGGGGGTCTTGCAGACCACACCAACCGGATGGATGATCCCCGATGCGAAGACGGGGAGCCAAGTTAGGCTACGTCTTCACTTGTAAGACTAGGGACTAGGGTTATGCTGCTCCCATCCTACTTAAGGACCGCAGCCCAGAAATAATTTCGAGCACCCAGAAAAGTGTCAAAAGAGTGTCGAAACAGTGTCGAGCGAGTGTCTCCCTAGGGCCCGACACGTGAAAACCCTCGAGTTTCGGTACTTTTTGGGGCGCTCGAAATTCAACCTGGTGATCAATGCCAAAGTAAGTTGGAGCATCATAAGACTAGGGCGTCCCTGACGCGAGGAGCGCACCAGGGAGGGGGGGTCCAACGCCGATCCGAGAAATCCGTGTGGACCTCGGACTTTTCATACTTCTTTCCCTGTCCGCCCCCTTCTTGGGGTTCTCCCGCGGCGGCCCTCGCGGTCTGCTCGGGCCCCTTCGTTTCCCTCTCGCGCTCTCTCCTCTCTCACCTTCGTGCCTCCGTTCGCCTCCAGTGCATCCCAACACTCGCTCTGACCAGGGACGGACCATCTTTTGCACCACCTGGCACCCCGCGGACCTCCGAGACCCCGACGCCGTGACCCCCAGAGATCGACCCCCAGAGATCTCGGAAGCGGTCAAGAGGGGGGTGTCCAAGAGGGGCGGGTGCAAATCATGACCAGCGGCATGTGCGCGGCCCAGCGGGGGGGGCAGGGACGTAATGAAACAAGAAGAGGCGCCATGAAATCTGGGGAAATATCCTGGCCCACGCCACGACATCCACCCCCCCCTAGTCATCACCCCCCTCTTTTCCGCCCCCGAAGATCTCGACCCCTTCCCCGGGACGGCCTTCCCTTCTGGATCGTGTGTTGACGCTCCCGAGGCCCGGCGAGGGCCCCCCGCGGGCCGAGAAGAACGCGAGCCCCCCCCGTCGGGACGGATTCTCAACGCGAGGGGGCCTTGAAAAGTCCCCGGCAGTCCCCCTGCTGACAGAAGCGTGGAGGTAGCACCGGCGATGCATTTTCGACGTCGGCGAGGCATCCGCGACGTCGACGTGAAGCGGGCCGGGCCCCGCACCGAGCCGCATCGCCGAGGCACCGACGATGCGGCGCGACGCGCCGACCCCGTCTGCTTCGGCACCAGCCATCTGCGGGGCCTACCCGCCAGTCGAAAGAAGTGGGTAGACGCATGAGGCAGGGAGGCATTGGAAGCAGAGTGAAGAGGGGGGAAGGAGGAACACCACTCGACTCTTGAAATCAAAGAGGTCTCTAGATTGGGTCGGAATAGATGGGGTGGGAGGATCGCGCCGCATCGTCGATACATCGGCGATGCACCGGCGATGTATCGGCGATGCACCGGCGCTGCATCGGCGACGTCGGCGGTGCATCGGCGCTGTCGGCGTGGAGAGAATCGGGCTCCGCACCGAGCCACATCGCCGATGCACCGCCGATGCGGCGCGATGATCCGACCCCTTCTGCTCGGACCCCACCTGAGAGGCCTATAGGTTGAAGCAGAAAGGCGGCGAAAGCAGATTTGGATATGAGCACCGATTTATCCCCATCCCCAGAGGCGTGGCCTGGGCCCCACTGGCCGATCTACCCCCCTAGATGGGAACACAGGTCGCTCCCTTCGGCTTTCGAGGGGTGTATCTAGGGGAACAAAAAGTGACATAAACATAGAAACTCGGAGGTCCGCGCGGATTTCTCGGATCGGCGCTGAACCCCCCCCCTCCGTGGCGCGCGGAGCGCGCCAGGGGCGGCGCCGCAGGCGCCGCCGGGGGGCCCCAGCGCCGATCCGCGAAATCCGCGCGGACCTCCGAGTTGTTATGTTTATGCCACTTTTTGTTCCCCTAGTATCCCCAACTGGGGTGGTAATTTGGTGGGGGTCTCGAAGGGGATGGGGATGAGGATGGGGGTCGGTTGAACGATACCGCTGGGCGAGAGCCGCGGGGCGGGCGCGGGCCTTGGCCGTGGCGCCGCCGCTGCCCGTGCAGTCCACGCTGAGCCTCACCAGGATGCCGGTGCCGGGCACCGCCTGGCGGCGGCCACGGGGGCGGAGGGGGAGGGCCCAGTGTTAAGTCGGGCCTGTCCCCCTACACGGAGATTTTCGACAAAAAATAAAAGATACCCCAAAAATGCACCCAACAAAAAACCCAAAAATACTCAAACAATAGTCCCCCGACTATTTTTGTTATCATTTTTGGTGTATTTTATATATTTTTCGTCGACAATCCCCCTGTAGGGGGACAGGCCCGACTGAGGGCCCCGTGGGGGTGACCCCAGTGGGTCGGCGGTGGACAAGTTCGTGGTGCCTGCCCTCTCCTCGTGGTGCCCTCCTCGTGGTTCCTGCCCTTCTCGTGGTTCCTGCCCTCCTCGTGGTCGGCGGTGGACAAACTCGTGGCTCCTGCCCTCTCCTCGTGGCTCCTGCCCGCCTCTCCTGGCCCCCCGCCCTCCTCTCCTGGCCCCTGCCTGCCCCCCGCCGCCCGCGCCGCGCCCGCCACCCCCCTCCCCTCCCAAGTCCACCTATCTATCGGCGGTGGGCAGACAAAGCTCCCTGTAGTACACCACCCTGTAGTGAAGACGGGCTGGGGCCGAAACCGACGGAGCTGGACCCGCACGCACAACATGACGGCCGCGACGCCCTCTCGCGGACCGAACACGGCCAATTCGCGAATCGACGTGTCAGGGTAGGAGGTCTATCCACCTCCGAGGGTAGGAGGTTGATCAACCTCCGAATGGAAGGTGAAGAGAAGGGTCCTGAAGGGTCCCGTTAGGGCCTCTTTTGAAGCCAGCTGGTGCCGCAAAAGAGACCCTCAAGGGCCCCATTGGAGGCCCTTATCTTCACCCACTCGTGTGGGTCATTCCCCCAGTGCCACCCGCCCGAGAAGGGGGGGGGGAGCCCAGCTGAAGAACGCAATCCCCGGCAGAAGGGCTCAATTCCCGGCAGAGGGGCTCCATTCCCGGAAACCAACTTCAATACAGCAGGAGCTCGACCACAAGAAAACTCCCGAGAGAAACCCCACCCCTGCGCCCCCAGGGCGTGCATCAAGGTCTGGTGCGGGGACGGCACGCTTTCCATAACCAGCAAGACCATCGAAACCCAAGAAGGCGACTGCACCCTGAAGGCATGCAGGGTGATTCTTGGCATGGGTTCCCATTGCATTCTCAACTTTTGGAACTACGAGATGCTGCGGTGCGCTTCTTGGGCCTGTCCAGTTGCTTCCGTGGTGTGTCGGCAGGCCTCGTGGGCCTTTTCCGACGGGCCCCGTGGGCCCTCCCGACGGGCCTCTTGGACCTCCCGACAAGCCTCTTGGCCCTCCCGAGAGGCCCGCTGAGCCTCCCGATTGGCCTCTCAGGCCCTCCCGGCAAGCCGCTCGGGCCTCCCGAGACGCCTTGTTAGCCTCCCGGGAAGCCCTTTGGCCTTCCGAGCGGCCTCTTGGGGTTTCCGACAGGCCTCTTGGGCGTTCCAACAGGCCCTTCGGGGCCTCCCAGCACAGGGCTTCCATTAATCCCCGGAAACTAATTTCGAGATCTTCTGGGAGAGCAGAGAGCCAACACCAACACCAACAAAGTGCGTATTCCGCGAAAATTTGAATTTTGTTTTCGGCAATCAAGGCGCCGCTCTGGCCTGACGAAGCGCAGGGCGGCAGGGGAGGGCGGGGGAGGGGAGACGTCGCGCACCAGGTAGGAGGGAGAGCCAGAAACAAAACATGCAAGCGAGAAGCGAAACTCGCGGGCGCTCTTGGGAGAGGAAGGGGACAAGAGGGAAGAATGCGGCATCCTCCATGACCGAAGCCTCACTCCCCCCACCGCCGCCCTCCCACACGCTTCCCCCCTCCCGCTCGTCCCCCTGATATGCCCCCCACACACACCTCCCCACACCCGTCCTCTGTCCGCCCGTATCGCATCCCCGACCCTCTATTTGCTCGAAGCCAGCACCCGACGACTCCGAACTGCCTGCTCCCCGCGAAAGGGGGCGGCGGCCGCCCTGCGCGTCTGGGGCCAAAGACTGTGGCTCCCTCTTGACCTGGGCCCGCAGCCCCTGGCGAACTGCCGAACTCGTCGAAGTGCTCAGCTCGCTCGTAGGACCGCCGTTCCAGACAGGGCCTCGGTGCTGGTGTCGGCTTTTTGATGTTGCCGGGGGGGGAGGCCGGCACCAGCACCAAGACGCCACCCCCAAAAAAATTGGAGCGCTTTCCCTGTGGGGGCTGAGCGACCCAAAGGAGCCTGGAAAGCTTGAGATAGCTTGCGTTGCTCTCCGAACTTGCAGGCCATGGTGCTTGCATGGTAGAAGCGCGCCCCATGGGACTCATGGCGCCCCTAAGGCCCATGGGGCCCCCATGGTCCGCGGGATTCGCAAGGCCTAGGAAGCCGATGTGGCCCTGACGAGTCAGGGGGCCCATGGGGCCCGCGCGGCTCGCTAGTCCAGCGCGTCGCCTTCTGCTCATGCGCTCTGCGGCGCTCGTGCGGCCCAAGAAACCATTGCGGGACTTGTGGGGTTCATCGGGCAAGGCTGGGTTCGCGCGGCCCACGGGCCTCACGCGGCTATGGAGATCCTCACGCCCCCCTGGGGAAATAGAAGCGGCCCGCCTTCTTCGCACGCACTCAGAGCTGGCATTCATCAGCGCGGGACACACGAGCCCGAAGACACGGGCGACGGCCGTCAACGGAGGCTACGATGTTTGTTCCACTGGCATCTTGGTGCTGAGGTCGGGCCCCGGCGCGCCGATGCCCAGCTTCGGCGCCGAGGAGTGGCTGTGGCGCGCTCCCTGGGCCTGCCAAAAAGCTTGCTGTGCGGTCCGACAGGCCTCTTGGGCTTCCCGGAGGAGGAGGAGGAGGAGGAGGAGGAGGAGGAGGAGGAGGAGGAGGAGGAGGAGGAGGAGGAGGACGAGGAGGACGAGGAGGAGGAGGAGGGGGAGGAGGAGGAGGAGTACGAGGAGGAGGAGGAGGAGGAGGAGGAGGAGGAGGGGAGGAGGAGGAGGAGGAGGGGTGGGCCTCTCGGGCTCTCCCAACAAGCCTCTTCCGTCTTCCGACAGGCCTCTTGGGCGTTCCGGCAGGCCCCTTGGGCCTCCCGAGAAGCCCCTTGGGCCTTCCGAGCGGCCCCAGGCACCCTCCGACAGGCATGGCCTATCGGGGATCCCTGCAAGCCACCTGGGCCTCCCAGCGACCGCCTTGGGCCTCCCGACCAGCCTATTGGCCCTCCAGACGGGCATCTTGAGCATCCCGACAGGCCTCTCGGGCCTCCCGACAAACCTCATGGGTCTCCCGACAGGCCTCGTGGGCATCTCGAAAGGCCTCGTGGGCTTCCCGAAAGGCCCCTTCGGGCATCTCGACAGGCCTCATGGTTCTCCCGACAGGCCTGTTGGGCCTTTCGGGGAAGTCCTTTTAGGCGATCCGACAAGTTTCTTGGGCCTTCTTCCAAAGGGCGTCTCGGGCCTCCCGACGGGCCTCTTGGGCCTCCCGACGAGCCTCCTGGGCCTCCCGACAGGCCTCTTGGGCCTCCCGACAGGCCTTGTGGGCATCCCGGCGGGCCTCCCACGTGCCTCCCGACAAGCTCCTTGGGCCTCCCGACATGTTTCTTGGGCCCTCCCGACTGGCCTCTTGGACCTTCCGAGAAGCTTCCCAGGCCTCCCGACAGGCTTCTTGGGCCTCCTGACACGCTCCCGGGCCTTTCGACAATCCACAAGGCGTCGCGCGCTTGCTAAACGTGTGCGCTCATCCACGGAACTTTGACGAGGTTGTCCTCTTGCAGCATTGTAGAAATCCATCGGGCAGATCGCGCCCCTTCAGCGGGCGAGCGCCCGTCCACGGATTGTATGTATGTCTATATGTATGCGTAGAAAGAAAGAGAGAGAGAGAGAGAGAGAGCGCGCAACAAACAATACACCACGTACATTATACATAATGTGCGATAACATAGTCAGGATACCTTCGTCAAATACTTGTGTATAGCAACATACCAAGAGTCGCTTCCAGTGCGCTGTGCCTGCAAGCGTGGTTACCAGTGTGTTGATAACCTGACACGACAACGCATTACTTCAAAATTGCGCCAACACACATAAGCGCGAGCTGGACTTGCAGAGCTGTTGAGAAACAATGTAAGCTTACCATGGTCTATGAAGACCCACCGGGTGTGATTAAACCACACCGTTCGACTGCATTAAAACAGGCAGCAGCTCCTGATGCCCAGCTCAAAACAAATACATAACACTAAAAGGGCTTCTCGGAGCCCTGTCGGCAGTACCCGTAGCATCAGCACGGCACACAACAAATGCGCCGCTGTCAATGCTCGCACAAAGGCATCTTCAACTGGAATCCAACAGGAATGCATTCGATGTTTGTTGACTCGTGAAAATGAAAACCCCATCGGGTTCGAATAGGGAACCAATCGCTTGGGATTCCAGTACCCTCTAGGTTCTCTATATGCTACTGGGTTTCAATCGCATTCCTGAAGGAATCGACGCGAGAGAAGCCCAAGAACATCACGTTTATCGGATTGCAAGAAAGCTCTAATAGCACAGTGGGACTCCCATGACAAGGAAGCTTTGGATAGCAATTGGCTTACAAGAGAAGGCGACTGGGTATCCAAGAAGCACGAACCCGATCGGATGCCATCACGATCCCAGTCGGCACCCGATAGAGGGAAATCAGGATTCCGTCCGAGGGGAATGCTACGACATTTCGATCGGATCGCCTTTGATCCGATTAGGAACCATAGTGTACATGGAATCCCAGAAGGGTTCGATCCCCGGCAGGAAATGCTCCCAGACTTCATGTGGATACCTTAAGGACTCCCATGGGCATTCTGAGCTCAAACGTCTGCTTTAGCTTTGGACATGGAATTGCAAGTGATGTCAGGGATAGAACCCTTCTGCCAGGGCTTGAACCTGCTTACGGAGATTCAACCCTTCTGCCGTGGATTGAACCCCTCTGCCGAGGATTGAACTCATAGCGGGGCCCCAGAAAGGCTCCAAGGGGCTACCTTCAGACGATGTCAGGACGAGGATACATCCGAGGGAGGATGAATCGAATCTC